GTCTTCGCTAGCCGAGCTCGACAACCTTCCCCTTGATGCATACGCAACAATACTGTACGATTACGATCGCGAACGTACTTCCAAGCAGTTGATCTCGCGTTATCAATCGGTTACTAGACGGTTTTGTAGGCGTAGAGTCGTTGGTGAGAATACGGAGAATATCTATGTTGGGGGGAACTCTCGAGTTATTCGAGAAGGATAATAAAATAACATAGGTGCATTTCCACGTGTGCAGTTCGTCATGGTAATATATTTCTCTGCAACAGATGATGCACATGGAACGGATCTGCGAGAACCGTAAACGACCCCATAAACGCCCGATTCGTTCTCGAAAGGATCGCTTAACTCGTGACGCCGTAATTGAATCTTCATGGGCTCTCGAGAGCCTACCATAATTACGTAGCTGTGGGCCGTCATGAGACTTCCATGACGCTGCATTATCCGAAGATGACGATCATGAGTCGGTTAATTAACCGTTCACGAGAATTTGCCGGATTCTTAGCAAACGTGCGTTTAATTGTAATAATCATCGGCATATAAATTTACTCAATTGTCATTATACGTACAAATGTCTGGATAATTTTTTCAGCAACGTCTTCTCCCTCTTTTTATTCTTCCATTGAAATGTCTAAAACACGCCATCCTGCGACACGAAGAGTGCGAAATGAAAAGTGCCACGCGACCGTATAGGATACACGATCCAACCCATAAAAGAAAAAAAGGAGCATTTCCTTTCTTCGCTAGATTATCTTAACAATCTTCTGTAATTCGCATAATTGCAGCCCGTATCATATATAACGACTTCCATCGACGATGTGGCGGGAAGTGTAATCAGGGCCTTCGCCTCGCGAGGAACACATTTCTGGCAAAAAGGCGACTGAAATCCGGTAGAGACGCGGTTCGCACAGGCTCGTAGAGGATTACCGGAAGTGTCGATTCTCGCGTGGCGAACGCGCCTTGGGGCGCCCGCGAAACATCGCCTGCGAACCCGTCCGCCAGGTTTTCTTCTTCGGCGGTATCTATCGTCGAGTGGAGACGAGACCGGTTGTGACGTAAAGGTCAGGGACTCTCTCGCGCGTACGCGGGATGACTTTTCCCGCGCGTGCATCGGCCGGGGAACCGACGTCGTGAACTGCTGTACGTACACGTGTGCGAGATCGTTAAGGTCGTTCTGCCGGGCTACCGTATGTTGCATATCTCGATCGCCGCCATTAATATATGAATCGAGACACGATGGAGATACGTTCCGCAGATAGAGGTAACGACGAGTTGATCAGCTGTTTTAAGCTACTCTGTGCTCCAACTGTCAATCCGGATTAGTATTTTATTTTGCGCTAAACAATTTTATTCAAATGTTATTACGCGGATTATTGTAGATTATTGACAAATCTTTGTTTGGTTTCTAATTTTATCGCCGCGTTAATTCGTTTCTGTTTAATTATCTCTTGTTGTGTAGTTGATCAGCTGTTTTAAGCTACTCTGTGCTCCAACTGTCATAATCCGGATTAGTATTTTATTTTGCGCTAAACAATTTTATTCAAATGTTATTACGCGGATTATTGTAGATTATTGACAAATCTTTGTTTGATTTCTAATTTTATCGTCGCGTTAATTCGTTTCTGTTTAATTATCTCTTGTTGTGTAGTTGATCAGCTGTTTTAAGCTACTCTGTGCTCCAACTGTCATAATCCCGATTAGTATTTTATTTTGCGCTAAACAATTTTATTCAAATGTTATTACGCGGATTATTGTAGATTATTGACAAATCTTTGTTTAATTTCTAATTTTATCGCCGCGTCAATTCGTTTCTGTTTAATTATTAATGTCTTGTTGTGTAGTTGATCAGCTGTTTTAAGCTACTCTGTGCTCCAACTGTCATAATCCGGATTAGTATTTTATTTTGCGCTAAACAATTTTATTCAAATGTTATTACGCGGATTATTGTAGATTATTGACAAATCTTTGTTTGGTTTCTAATTTTATCGCCGCGTTAATTCGTTTCTGTTTAATTATTAATGTCTTGTTGTGTAGTTGATCAGCTGTTTTAAGCTACTCTGTGCTCCAACTGTCATAATCCGGATTAGTATTTTATTTTGAGCTAAACAATTTTATTCAAATGTTATTACGCGGATTATTGTAGATTATTGACAAATCTTTGTTTGGTTTCTAATTTTATCGCCGCGTTAATTCGTTTCAATATTTCTCATCTTTTAATAGATATTGTTATATTTGTATAATATACATTATACGAAATTCTGTGAATTTTTATATATTTTAATATATTTACTTTCTACTTTATAAATTTTGAAGCATATCCAAAGTACCATATAAGACAGAGAGAAAGAATTGTGACAACAATAAAAAGAAACAGAATGTCTATATTCTCTGGAAAAATCAGTAATTGTCAGAGAATTTCTTTTTGCCTAAAAAATCCGAGAATTCTCATTTTATTAAGGCTCAGAATTTGTTTAAAAATTGTGTCTTTAATAATTTAATATATTGCAAGCGGTCGACAATCCGCTGATCGAGTTTGCAATCGTATATATTATTTTATTTTTTAGAATAGAAAAAGTACATTTAAAATATTATATTTCTTTGGACCTGGAATTTGAAACGAAAATATCTGAAAAATCAAGAAACTCCTCGGGAACTTTGACAAGATTTAAGTAGACATATCCTTAATAATCTTGTATTTTCTTTTGAACAATTGTATATAAATCGAGTATCTTAATTAGCGATTTCAAGACATCTCATTAAAGCGATTTTGCTATTTTGTTGCGAATCTGGAACTGCGAAATCTCTCCTTTATACTCGCAGAGTGTGTAAAGGTGCCGTTAAACCCCGGAAATCCGAGTTTCTCAGGTAACTCGTGACCTCAAAGAAGAAATCCGCGCTTCCTTCGCGCGCGTGTTTCTTTCACCTCACTAGGTGCATTAATCTTCGTAACAGTGCATCAACCTGCCTACCGCGAGCGCGCCTAAGCGCATTCCTCATTGTTAGCGCGCGACTTTGCCACGACGTGCAACTCGTGGGTGCTGGGTCGCGAAGGAGAGGCCACGGACAGAGAGGGAAGGATGAACCTTTGGCCTCGGTACAGGCCACGACGTGGCTCTCCTTCCCCCCGGCAATCTTCAATAGAGCGCCATTATACTTGGTGACCTCGAACTCCGCGAGACTCTCTACGTGGCCGGTCTTCTGGTATGATGATATCTGTATCCTTGTTATCGTAATGCGCTGATTGGCCGATCGAGCATGCACTTGAGGGAAGTAAGTTGGTCAACAAAGCCAACAACCCGTTGTGAAATCCGACGATGGATAATCGCCGGATTTATATAAGAATGTATATAATGATGGCTCGCGGATTTTTGGTGTCCGCCGGGGAAATAAATTTCGCGTCGAAAAAAAGAGCGATCTAAATTTTACTATGAAAAAAAATAAAAATAAATTTGATAAAAGGCTGTTAAGAGCAGTAAATATAAAAATTCAAATTATGTTAGAAAGTGAAGTCATATATAAAAATAAAAATATATAAATAATATATAAAAAATAAATATATAAAAAATATATAAAAAAAATAAATTTGTTACGACGATGGATAATCGCCGGATTTATATAAGAATGTAATGATGGCTCGCGGATTTTTGGTGTCCGCCGGGGAAATAAATTTCGCGTCGAAAAAAAGAGCGATCTAAATTTTACTATGAAAAAAAAAAAAAAAATTTGATAAAAGGCTGTTAAGAGCAGTAAATATAAAAATTCAAATTATGTTAGAAAGTGAAGTCATATATAAAAATAAAAATATATAAATAATATATAAAAAATATATAAAAAAAAAAAAAATTGTTAAACAGCCAGATGCTTATAATAGTAATTATATAAGGCTCTGTTTATTAGCCGCGTCTCTTGATACCTCGCGAAACGTAGAAATATAATTAGCGAACGTAAATTATTATTATTGCTCGGAGAAATTAAGGATAATCACAACGATTTGAGAAATTATCGATATTAGCGCGCAAACGTTATTATTTACACGTGCGAGAAGAAGATTAATTGCAAAGTAACGGGAAGATGCACGCGGTCTATTTTCGACGCTCACAATCTCGGGGTTCTGAATCTCGACTCTTATACGCGACACACTGCTATTACCGCGAGAGATGATAGATAAACGTATTAAGAGAGAAATACACGAAGAAGAACGAGAAATGATCTTGCGAAACCCTCGATCCCCGACAGGTGGGGTCATCGAGAAACAGGATAGCCAGCTGTGGCGGAGAAAATGAGATGAAAATGACGACGTAAGGAAGCATCTAGGAAACGGTTTCGCGAAACACGCGGGAAATCTCGCATGCTCCCGAATATCTCGTCTTCTCGATCTTTTATAAATGTCAAATCAATTTAAGAGATACCCATCGTGCGCGATAATAAATTCTTCGTGTTGATTAGACGTCTTTTCTGTTAGTCAATTAGCTCTACCCAGATCTTATCGGGAATCTCATATGCTGGATGGGGAATCTAAAGTTATACATAATGATTAGATTTATCTAATAATTAGATATATATAATTTTGAGCCTTGTGTCAGTGGAACGAGTACTTATGAAAGCAACTTAAAATATTCAAAACATGCCGGAATTTTTCCCGCTTGAAATAAAATGGGTACAAAGGATCTTTGTATTTAAAAACCTTTTAAAATGTGTCGAAAAGACGCATTATTGGAATCCGTAAGATGAAAAATTATACATTGACAAGTGGGTTAACGCATGTCTAATCGCTTAAAAGAAAAATCTCTGCCTGCAGTCATATATGCATTACTCGAATACTGACTTGCATAACTTCATTTCCTTCACATTAATTATTATTTAAAATAAGTTATTTAGCACATATACGCGGAAATGATTATATCTCGCGTGCGTGGGAGTCAACCTCGCGTCAGCTCCAGAAACAATACCAGACCGATTCTAATTACGGGTTTTGTAACTGAGATTCCTTATTCTCATTACAGATGGGCTCGTTTGGGATCGGAACGGTAGCGATTACAACAGCGAGCCTGATATTCACGGTGCTGTTGGCAAGCGGCGATGCTGCGTTGGGTATGTCTTTTCTATAAGATTGATCAAAGTGTCACCAAACTAGAAATGTAAATGGAAACAAATTTTTATGGAAAAAACAAGTCTTTTTTTTCAATTTTTTCAGGTATTTAATATCTCTATATGTTGATTTTTTATTATTTTAATTTTTTAGATGCTAATGCGAATAATCTTCAATTTGATGCATAATAAAAATTTTTTGTTGTGCATCTAATTGAAAATTACCTAAATCATGTCGAGTTTAATACACTCTTTAAAATAATTATAGGATAAAAAATTGTCCATAAAATAGAAAAATTTAAAATAGTTGTAACTTGTTTCGAAAAATGGGAATATGAATTTTAAAAAAGGGTTTAAAGCTTGACATCTCTATTTTCGAAAGCTTTTTTCATTTTCGTCAGTTCTGATATTTTTTACATACAAAAAACGACGAACATCGAAATTTAAATTTTAAAAACTATTTTGCAAGGAAAACTTCAGGCTTTAACGTGAAAATGTCACAAAATTTTTTCATTTTATGTTCGTCATTTTTTGTATGTAAAAAAAATATCAGAATTGAAGAAAATAAAAAAAGCTATGACCTTCTCTTTCGAAAGTAGAGATTTCAAACTTTAAAATCCTTTTTTAAAATTTAAATTCCTATTTTTCGGAACAAAGTTATAGCTATTTAAAATTGGCCTATTTTTGGACAATTTTGATCCCTTAATTATTTTGAGGAGTGTATTTATCACACAAGTTCTATTTAATTCATGAAAATTACTTTCGAAAAAAATAAAGAAAAATCATATTATTTCAAAAGTTAATGATAAAACAATTTTTATATATTTTTTCTATTAGAAAAATAGTTTTTTTTTATATCTTTACACTGGACACACGTGGATATTGGAAAAGTTTGGAAGTAAAAGATCCGACAGGAATATCCCTTAAATGCACCCTTTTGCTTTGACATTTCAGCCAGGACGGCGTTCGAAAAACTCACCGATTACGATTATCGCGGCACCACCTATTACAGCGTGAGGAATCTCTCGTTGTACGAGTGCCAGGGATGGTGCAGGGAAGAGGCCGAGTGTCAAGCAGCCGCGTTCTCGTTCGTCGTGAATCCGTTGGCGCCGATGCAGGACACTCTTTGCCAACTGCAAAATGAAACGGCCGCCACGAATCCGGCCGCGCAGCCCCAAAGAGCCGCCAACATGTATTACATGACGAAACTGCAGATAAGATCCGGTAAGTTATCCGGTACACTTTACGCGAAACATTGTTTCGATCTGCACTCTCTGAATTAGGAAGACCCTCGATTTTGCTAATATTAGATAATTTTACTGATACCTGAAAGGCGCAGGGAAAAATATAAAATAAATGTTTTACCGTGGGAAAAATTGCAGGGTTTTTGTGCGCAACGAAAAAGGAACCTGGGAAATATGATAATGAACTTTAAATTTAAAGTGTAATAGTACAACTACCTGTTCAGAACTATCTGTTCAGAAGATCAGGACGTCCTTTGGAGGTCCAGAAGCAAAAGTGCGTGGTACCGGCAAAACTTTAAAAAGAAATGGTTGACTGACCGGATTTTGTTGAATGGAGGGTTCCAAAGGTTCACAGGAAACAATACTAACTTCTGTGCGGACAATACGAGACCTTAATAATGTACGATTCGATTTACACGGAAGTGCGGTAGAGCTCTTTCCCATGTACAGGGTGTTTGGTAACTAACGGACCAACGATTACAAGTGGATTCTTTGGTCAATTTGGGAACGATTTTTCCTCAGCAAAAATGTCGAAAAAGGTCATCATTTTTTACAACTTTCCAATATTTGTCATTATGTATCTTTATAACTAAGCCTCAAATTAACATTTTATTATAGTAAACTCTACCTGAAATTAACTGAAGAATGTAATTATGTTAGACTTTTAACTCCAAAACGTTTAGTTTTCAAAAAACCCATTTCTTTCAATCGCTTATAACTCGAAAATTATTGACTTCTCAACATTTTTGCTAAGGAAAAATCGTCTCCAAATTGGCCAGAGAATCCGCCCTTAATCATTGGTCCGTTAGTTACCGGACACCCTGTATATGATCGAAGTTAAACATATTTAACATGTATTATAGAGAGAATCGAAAGTCACGTAATGCGTAATATTTTAAAACGAGACGTGAGTCAATTAAATTGCGGGATTTCTTATTATTTACAATAATTAAGAATATGTATAGTAATATTATAATATTAATTTACAAGCAAAATATTTAATATATTAATTAATAAATAATATACTAAATGTAATATTAATAAATAATATTAATATTATATAATGATAGAGAATAATATATCAATCATCAATAATAATTCATAAAATTGATTAATTGTAAGTTAAAAAATATGAAAAAAATAACAATTTAAAATTAATTTTATTTTGAAAGATAATCATTACAGTAAAAGTTATATAAAATCCGGTGTATATATTGATTTAGGCGATTTCTTCTTTCATTTTATGTTCGTCGAAGAAATATAAAACGGACACTCCGTACTTATTTCTTGGTCAGGTCTATAGTCACTTTTGTCATTTTTACCGGAATCCAGTAAAATTGCTTTTACTTTTCCCCAAAAGAAAATCTGATTTTTCAATAACCGTTGGACAAATAATTGCTATACCTCCGGGATTATACGGAATGTTATTGAAAGAGGACCGTCATTAAACATAGCTACCTGCAGTACTCTACTAACAATAAGTTGAAAAGAACTATGTTGAAAAGCCTCAGTATTCTAAAAAAGATTTAAAATTCGTTCTAACGATCTGCTCAATGTCTCAGATGATAGATCTTTACATCTGTCAATAAAATCTTTCTCAGCTAATCATTGCGTAGTCGTGTTTCAAAATACAAATGAAAGGAACTAGGTACTTGAAAGGAATATAAATATAAAAGAAAGGAAGTAGGTTCTTGAGGAAAATAAACGGTTTTCCGGAAGGATCAGTTTTTACCTGAGTTTGCATGTCGCAATTTCGAGATTTTTTTCGTATTTTGACGATCGTGAGAAAGAAGAAGAAACAAAAGAGATTTCTTTCGTTTCCATTCAAAATTAAAAAAAAACTGTATCAAGAATAAATGCAATCAAGAAATGTCAATTTTTAAAAAGAAATAATTTCATTTTTTTACCAATTTTTTCTTGCATATATAGTCTATATAGAAAAGTTGACAATACGAAATTTTATTCAAGCCTCTTCGCACATCTTTATAAATTTTTTATACAGTCAGAATTTTCGCGACAAGTTTCATGCGCTTCACAAAATCGTGCATTGTTTATTTTTTATTGTGTTGTATTTATTTAACAAATAAGCCGATTTTTTGAGCAGGATGTTTCGCATCACGATGCACCTCTTAGTTGCCTGTCATAAATTTACGCAGGTAGATTATCCGCAGAAATATTTCTTTCTGTACAGTTTGTGTGACCTAAGAATGAAGAGAACAATTGAAAAGAGAAACTTGAAAAGGATAAATTCATTCTATCAGATTAGGGTACACCTTGTTAGAACTGCGCAGAATCTTACTTTAACGGCTATAAAGTCAACCGTATCAACAATATTAGTACATTTCAGAAATTCTTGAACTTGACATCAAAGGACGAGCGACATTTTAAATGCAACATAAATAATTACAGCTTTTATTGAAAAAAAATTATATGATTCTATTAAAAAAAATTATATATATTATATTATATTATTTATATTTTACATTATTTAAAATAAAATATATACATATTTTTTCGTAGAGTATTTTCAGTTCAAGAAGCAAGTGATTTGATTAAAATAATTTTTATAATAATTTATATATATATATATACATATTATATATAATTTTGATATCGTGTGAGCCTAAAAAAATTAATTTTTGGATCAAATCGTCGCTTGCTTGAAATCATAAAATATGTACCACGAAAAAATTTCAAATTATAATTAGATACTTTATTCACCATCTGTGAATTGCAATCGAAGTACTTAATTGTAGTGCCAGCAATACACGATTACAGAGGATCCGTTAAACTTCACGTTGTCGATCGGAAAATAATTATCACAGTATTGGCCTAGCAATGCTTCGTTCAGGACGAGCGATCTCTGCGGGAATTCGCACGGTTTGTTGATGATTCACGCGTAAAAGAGTCTCGTATTCGGTTCGTTGGCATCGACTTTCGACGTCGGTTCGCCACAACTTTAGCGCCGGTTTCGAGGGTGAAACAAAAAAAATTGGACCGTCGAACCGAACGGGCTCGTCCGAAATATATTCCGGACACATGTGCCAAAAGGTGCTGCAGCTAAGTGCGTCATCCTAGACATCTATACGATGCCAAGTCACATGCCAAGTCACAACGTGTGATGTTTCGGCACGAAAAATCTTTTGAAACGACGAAAAAATTTTGACAGCAAAAATTATGACATAATTCGACCCAAGCTTCTTAAAGGTTCTCATCACTTTAAAACAGAAAGAGGAGAGAAAGACCGAGTTATTAAAAACTACTTCCTGTTTCAGTCTTTTTATCTGATGTCTCAGTTTAAAAGACTAAAATCATAAGTTGATTCGAAAATGTGATTCTTCTTTTCATTTTTTTCGGTTTTCGTCAAGAGTTTAGAATTTCAAAATTAATAGTTTTCAACAAACATGTACGGAAAATCACAGTATTAAGATCTGCAATCTTTGTCATATGATCATAAGTACTAAGAAAATGTATGCATATATTTCAAGAACAGATAATTAAAATATGCAATTTTGTAATACATTAATTTTATTAAAATTTTATTAAATAATCTTTTATTATTTATTTTATTATATAATTTCAGAAAACGTTTGTTTGCGACCATGGGCCTTCGAACGCATTCCAAATAAAATGATTCGCGGATTGGACAACGCATTAATTTACACGTCCACGAAGGAGGCTTGTCTCGCTGCTTGCTTAAACGAGCATCGCTTCACCTGTCGTTCCGTAGAATATAATTACGTGACGCTTCAGTGTCATTTGAGCGATTCGGATCGTCGAACGACAGGTCAATACGTTCAATTCGTAGACGCCCAAGGAGTAGATTACTTTGAGAATTTATGTCTGAAAGGTAATTTTTTCCAAGAAAAAAATATTGTTCAAATACCAGTTTTAGAGGAATAAAAAATGTATTAAAAAAAAAACATTTGGTTATTTACAGGAAAAGAGGCTTGCAAATATCAAAGGATTTTCCAAATGCCAAGAATCGGCGTAGCGGATGACAAAGTTGCACAATACGCAGGTCTACATTATTACACCGACAAGGAGCTGCAGGTTCAGAGCGAATCCGCATGCAGATTAGCCTGCGAAATCGAAAACGAGTTTCTTTGTAGATCCTTTCTCTATCGTGGCGCTCCTCAAGGGTCGGCTTATAACTGTCAACTCTTTCATCTGGATCATTGGACTCTTCCGGATGGACCTTCTACGTATCTTAATGCAGAAAGACCCTTGATCGATAATGGGGAACGAGTTGGCACTTACTTTGAAAATTTCTGCGAAAGTAAGCGAATTGAAAAAAGTCGAAGATTAAATAATTTAGGTGTACATGTATGATACATTAATTATATATATTATTATACTCATTTCAGAGGGCACTGGACCATTAGCAGATCCGCTACCGGTAGTTTTCGAGACCACAGAAGATCCTACGCTAAACAATCTCACTAGAAACGATATTAATTGTGATAAGACCGGCACTTGTTACGATGGTACAGATTTTTTTTATATTTAAATAATATACATATGTAGTTTCTATATAAAATATATGTCTCTTAATGTAATCGATATATGTTGCAGTATCGGTTGACTGTAAAGACACTCGTATCGCCGTCCAAGTTCGTACGAATAAACCCTTCAACGGACGTATTTACGCCCTTGGACGATCCGAAACTTGCAATATTGATGTTATCAATAGCGATCTCTTTAGGTTGGATCTCACAATGAGTGGGCAAGACTGCAATACTCAGAGCGTGGTAAGTATATATAAGATGGTGATGGTAACGCTTTAAATTTAATCATTTTTAGGAATGATTAAAAATTTGAAAAATATTGTAATTATCTTTATGTAATTTATAATTACAATTACAGATTTTTAATACTATTTGTATTTTTCAATATACTTGTTATGTGATACATGCGGCATGTAATTTGTAATGTATAAAGTTTTCATCGAATTCTATAATTTTGCATAAAATATCTCAAAAATTATCACAAACATATATTTTCTTCCTTTTTTCTAAAAAAAATATAGTTTTACAATGTTTTTCATTAGTATTTGTCTTATTGAAATACGCATGTGCTTAGAAATAGTTAGATTAAATAAATAGCACTTAAGTTACACAAACACTTTATCGATGTTGTATGTGTGTCTAACATTATTACGTCTCAATACTAATGTATCACATTTATTTGATTGACCAGCACATACACTGCACTTTTGTAATATATAACGCATAATTTTAAAAGTACATTTTTGTTACACATCTCTATATTTTTCATAAAGTCGATAAAGAGTTTATGATAAATAATGCACAACCCTCTCTCTCTGAGTACTTAATCTCTGTTCGAACTTTCTTTTCACCATGGCAGCGTGACGGTTTTCAGACTGGGATTTATTCAAACACGGTTGTACTGCAACATCATTCCGTGGTAATGACAAAAGCTGACAAGATCTACAAAGTTAAATGCACATACGACATGTCCTCGAAGAATATAACATTCGGCATGATGCCGATCAGAGATCCGGAAATGATCAGTATCACTAGCGCACCGGAAGCACCTCCACCGAGAATTCGCATTCTTGATAGTCGATCGCGGGAAGTTGAAACTGTACGCATTGGCGACAAATTGACATTCAGAATCGAAATCCCGGAAGACAGTAAGTTTGTGTTTTCTTGGACATTTATTTCTCTTTATAGCCGAGGAGAATTATATATATAATTTATAATATATATTCATATTATTTATATTATGGATATTATATATATTATACATTATACTTGAATAATGATATAATATTGACATTTTTGACAATACTATTAATATTAATATTTTACATATAGCACCATACGGTATTTTCGCTCGAAGTTGTGTAGCTATGGCGAAAGATTCGAAAAGCACGTTCCAAATTATCGACGATGAAGGGTGAGTTGATTTTGCTTTAATTAAATATTTGCGACATGTTAAACTTGGCGTACGAAACTTACAGCATGAATGTCTAAATTTTTAGGTGTCCGGTCGATCCTTCCATCTTCCCCAGTTTCACTCCCGACGGTAACGCTTTGCAATCTATATACGAAGCTTTCAGATTCACCGAATCGTACGGCGTGATTTTCCAATGTAACGTAAAATACTGTCTGGGACCCTGCGAACCGGTAATAAATTAATTTTATCATTAATTAATTATAAAAGAAAACACATAATATCAAAGATTTTTTATATTTTATTAGGCTGTTTGCGAGTGGGGACGCGAATCTGTAGAATCGTGGGGCAAGAGACGTAGAAGAAGTCTTGCGAATTCGACAGAGGAGAAAGGTGAAGATATGACTCTATCCCAAGAGATCTTAGTGCTTGATTTTGGCGATGAAAAGCAATCCGATTTTCTTAAGAGCGATGCCAGCATAGACTTCAATGGAGCAGGTAAGATCGAAAAGGAAGAAAAGGATGTATTTATAAGCGAGAATAGAAACCTTCACGATGCTAATTGTACCTGGAATATTTCTTTCCAGACAAAACGGTAACCATCGTGGAGCCATGTCCAACAAAAACCTCGGTGCTGGCACTCGGGGTAACGTGTGCTCTTCTGGTGCTCATCTATATCTCCACGATCTTCTGTTACTACATGAAGAAGTGGCTGACACCTCGTAAAATGATGCCTTAAAGGATTGAAAGAGGGTTCATCTCCGCAGAGCGCATTCGCAAAAATAGACGAAGAGAACGATAATGAACAGAGTGCGAGAGTTCACACATACATTCACACGTATACACAGGCATATTCATATCGTAAGTTATCAAACAATTCATACTTAGCAATACTCTCATTTATTCGCCCTCTCATTCCTATATTATATATATATATATGTTCATTTTCATTATATTCGCAACGGGTAAAGAGCATGCGTATATAATAAGAGATAAAAGATTTTTATTTTTATTATTCAAAGGGGGCACAATCTCGTATATCATGCGCATCTGAATTATACGTATGATCCATTTAACATTTTATGCAATGTATCATTAATGACGATCGCAGGAATTAATTGCGCAATGCAATTAATTACGCGACATCGATTATTATTGTACTGATGCATAATATTTAAAAGAATAGTTCTATGCTCGTTAATATAGATCGATATTTTCGAGACAGCTATTCGACAGACATTAATAATACTATACATAAATCGTGTTTCATGTGCGAAAATAAGTTTACATACACATTAAAACTACTGTGACTGAATGCGACGAAGATTACACGGATCTCTTGTACCATATATATGTTGAAAGGAAACACCTACACATATTCGAGGTCTATAACGAGGAGAATGACTCGACATTTCTTGACCGAAGTAATATTTAGCAACGAACAGCTCATGAATATCGCAATTTTCATTAAGATTTGCGTCTTTTTTACGATGGTCACAGATTATATAACTAATACGCGTCAATTATAACAAAGCAACATTTACATTTTCATTGAATGCTAAACATATTAGAGATGTCTGCAAGACTTTAATATATACAACCACTTTGTGGCCGCGTGTACTTAACAACTTTATATATTCTGACTCGTCAGATTGTACCGGGATATCATTGACAAAGCAATCGGGATTGAATTTTGCTGACACGATTTATCTTTAACGTAAGCATAAGAAAAAGAGCGTTGCTACATGAGCGACTGTGATTGAAATTTGAACGATGGTTTGCGCATGTCGGAAATTTGTTTGTGTAAAGTTGGCGACCGACTCGACTCTTTTGCACACATAGATACATATACATACATACATACATGCATACGTACGTACACATATACCGAGCATATTTCGCGAAGTTTACTCGCGACTACGATCATCTTGAAAATGCAATAAGTAAATCTTATTTAAGAATATTCTTAGAAACAAGCTAACTGTTCTCTAGTAGCTACTTCTGATCGGGTTGCAAAGAGAACAGAAACGAGCGGACGAATTTATTTTTTTCGTATTGCTCGAAGCGCAAAATTTCTCTGATACTTTCTGAAGAGTTGAGAGATGTGGCTCTAATTGACTGTTTTTCAGTCAATGGAGATCGATTTGTAACCCGCATCAAGACTAGCGGTATTTAAAGGTTCACGCTTCACTAACGTCTTTAATGATACAAGTAGCATTAAGATAGCAATTAAGCATGTAAGCATAGACAAAAGAAGGAAAAGAGAATGGATGAGAAGATACTTTCTCTGATTTAGCGGATTCTCGAAGCGATTCGTATTTTGTTCGTTACCTATTATGAATAAATTTTTCATAGAGGAAAAAATAAACAGTAGGGGGAGCCTCTTTATTTACATGAGTATATGATACACAAATTCCATTTATCCATATTCCAATAATCATATTAATCTTATGTATATATAAGGAATAATTAATGTTGAAATTAACTTATTCAGGAATGTGACCACATGCATTAATACTCATCAATTAGATATATTTGTGTTCTATTTTTATATACGAATATTTCAGTAAACTCAGATCAGCTTTGATAGAATCTTTCTTTTTTAGAACTATTTATTGCATACGAAAGTAATCTATAACTTTTACAGTTAATTTATACTTTATAATGAATAAAAAATAAGACATATTGCTCTATGTAAAAGAGAATTGGGATACAAAGTATTGTTTATATAACAATTTTGAAACTATAAAAAAATCAATTTAAACATTGCTTGTTTCATGAAGCATTTTAAAGAATCTAATCGTCGATCAAGAGTAATTGCAGTATATTATATAATTTCTCTCGTGCAATAAATTATTGACTTGGTCAAACATTAACAAAGCATTACGTCAAACTTGTGACTAATCGATTTGTAGAAACATATGTCAACGTTGAACGTGTCAAAGTTTATTATTACATTGAATAATCATATAAGCACACATCGCTTGACGACTTTGATCAAACTCTAATCAACTTAAGCATTAATGCTTAATTTATATGATGGAATTATCTTTAATAAAATTTCAAACTGTATATGTATAATTCTTTCGACTTTTTAATATTATTATTAAAAATAATATTAAAAACAATAATAATATTAAAAATCTTAATATTATATTTTTGATATTTATTTTCATACATTGATGAATATTAATATTTTTCGTATTAATACAAAATTAATTTATGTTAACAGAATCCTACTGATTAAGGCAACAAAAGCATATGTTTTAGAAGATATTTAGGTGAAAACGTGCAAGCAAAATTTTGCATTGCATTTCCTCTATTCCTATCATCGAGGGCAACCTGAAACATCATCTTTATATAAAGTATCGATCGACCAGTTCCTCGCTTCCAAGATAACGCCAAGTTCCACGGATAAAACAGCGTCTTTTATGACGTCTATTGTTCTTTCATAATTGCTCCGTCGATAAAGCGAACTCCAGAGGAGACCATCTACGTCGCGCTGTGCACCACGTCTGGAGCCTCATCGTCCTCGAGAAACCCTCTCCTTTCCAAGAAGGAGAAGATGACAAGAGACGAAATGTATAGAGCGTGAGTTGATCAATATATACATAACGTATATATGTATTGGAGTCGTCGTCGTCGAGTCTCCTGGTGCCAAAGGCGAACACTGCGGCAACCAACCTCGATACGTCTTCGCCCATGATAAGATAAAGGTTAGCGCATGTATGCGTGCGTGAGACTTTGCGTGGAAACCAACTGTGGGCGATGTCGACTCTCGCACGATAACGCTTCTGTCTCTCTCTCTCACATACGTACCTACTCAACACATATATCACTATGCCTGCGAGTTTTTTTCCGCACAGCCGCATCATCCACCGATCATCTGACATCTGACAGACCGTCCGTGCGTTCCGTTCCTTTCTCTAATATTCGCTTCGCGATAACAGCGAGCGATAAACAGTAAGAGAGCGAGCATGATATCGGTATATCTCTTTCTCCCGTGACGCATGGTCGGAGGAATCTCGCTGAAACGAAAGTTTCGAGAAGCCTTTGCAACGGCTACGCCTGCGAGGTTCAACCTATCTTGGGGTACCGCAGGTAGGTAGGTATGTGAGAGCGAGTAGGCGCCATCGCGCATGACCGCCTTCGGAGAAGGTACATTTCACCTTTAATTTTGTTGGTACCACCACCAAATCTCGATCGAACCTTTAGTCTAATGTAATATACACGTAATTCCTGTGTAAGTTGGATAATTCATGTTTCGATCATTTGAAGAGGAAATTATAATCATAGGATCGTAGATTTACTTTCTCGGTCTCTTCTGTTAGCCGAGGGATGAGCGAATCACTTTCAATTATATGTTGGAACACAAATAAGATTACTTTGTAAGCATTATCGTTATCAGAATATAAAAAGCTTTGCGAGGTTTGTCGATCCTTTGACTCATTGCAAATATAGCGCACAAAAGCTGATTGAGTTATCGAATAATTAACTGGAATATTCTTTGTTAATTTCTTATTAACATTCCATTTCTTTAAATGTTATTGCAAACTGTAGTTGATATAATTAACTGGGAATATATTTTTATCCGGAAGTCACATTTCAAGATATTTTTCTTTGATGATACTGTTTAATATTACTGCAAACTAATTGACATAATTAACTCGAGGCATTTTTATTTTTCTGAAACAACACTGAATATTATTGCAAACTGTAGTTGGCATAATTAACTCAAGATATGTTTATGCTGAAATGACATTTCAGGAAATTTTAATTTGACATTACTCTTTAATTTAATATTGATGCAAATTGTTGTGACATAATTAACTCGAGATATTTTTATCTTAAAATAACATTTCATAAAAATATTCAGAGTTCATTATGTCAACTACTACTAGTTTGCGGTAATGTTTAAAGAAATATAATATGTGTATAATAAGAGATTAACCAGAGTATGTTAATTATTAAATAAAGATAAGAATATTGCACGAACTGCACTTTCTCAATTCAGATAATCGAAATATAAATTATCCAATAGGATAATATTAAAAATTTGTACATAAGCACACATTTAGCGCACATGAGATTGATCCGTCCCTGTTTGTATGTATGATTAGATTCGATGCTATGCACGTAAATATACGCGCTGTATGTATGTATACGTGTTGAACGTAAATGTATTTGTACGGTGCACGTGTAGCGTTCTTCCAGTTAAAAGCATGCGCATAAATAAGTTTAGATTATAAGCTGTAGATTGCGATTTCAACGAGTGGCGCTCTTTACTCTGGATAGAAGATGAGTGTTCACATATGTATAGTTATTCTCCGAGTATCATGGTCGCTTATCGCCTCTTCCATTCGCAACATATCGCTATTCTCGCGTTTACTGATCACGATGAGGTTCTCTTTTTCAAACACGTCCATCGTGCAGCAAGAAGGCACCTGCGTGGCTCGGCCTTCGCGTAGTTACATAGGCAGGCACGATTCATTGTTCAGGTATTCCACCTATGTGTCCTTGAAACAGAATGTCTTCCTGTCAGTTTCCCGCGTCAATAGAACACGTTAACATTTTTATCGAGCAATTACGAGTCGTTTTTCTAAGCTCATATAATATGTTCAGTTACTATTTGTTTAGGGTATATTTAGTCATGTATCAATTACACGACTTTAGTTTTTTTGGTATTTTTCTCTATCTTTTCTCGCATGTATCTATTCTCAATCTCTATATCGCATATTCTCTCGTGAGTAAACGATAGTATTCGCTGAAAATAATATCGGCAGCGAGCATCGAGTAAGGAAAACATCGAGGCAGACCGGCAGTCGCCTAGTGCACAACGGCTGGCCTGGCACGGCTTGTCGGATTTGTCCTTGGGGCTGAAGGTAAGCGCAAACACGAAGACGAAGCGGCAACGTTGTGCTCGGCGCCCCCTCTTTTGTCCGCCGGCCGGTCTTGCCAGACAGGGTGTCGCCAGCTCGGTCGGCCTGGTCGTCCGGGTTAGCGCGAGGGACGAGGAAAGGGAGAGTGCGACGGAGAAGAGGGAAGAGAGAAGGTTTATATATGTATACGCATCTGTGTGCGCGAGCTAGAGCAGCAATAGGAGAAGGGACGCACCATAGGGGGAATTGTTGGAGCGGTGGACGTTAGAAGAGACGAGACGAGGGGGAGACAAAATGCAGCTCGTAGCTAGCAGCTCGTCGAGAGAGATCGTAGTGTGCGTATTGCAGGGATCGGTCATGGACCTATATTCACGCAGACCAGGCACATGTTTGAAAACTCGCATTCTTCTGGAATGTGGCCTGTTGGAGGCCCCTTTGGTAGTTCAACCTCCCTCTTTTCCTCTCCGTTCTCCGGCTCTGCAAACCTCTGTTGAGCGTACGGTGGACATTGCTCGGACGCCTACCTACACCCTCCTCTTCCTCTCCTCCTTTCGTTTCGTTTCCTTTCCTTTCCTTGCCCTACCCCGCCGTCCTTTCATGATCCCCGTTCACCCGCTGCACCGTCGCAGCCACTAGCTTGGCGCCCCAAATAGTCGCGTAACCAGAGACGCGCCTCTGGCCTGGCTTGGTCGCGCCAGACTTCTCGGCGCCCAAATGATGTACATCGACCATCCGCTGTCTCTCTTCGTCCTTTGCTCTTTCGCTCATTCGCTCGCGACCGTTCGTAGCCTTCGCTTTCCGCGCTTTCTTCCACGTACTTATGCACAGACATGACTGGCAGAAAAAAGAGGTTCTATAGGAATGATAAAACGCAGCGACAAGGAAAAAAGACAGACGCCAAGTCTATTTACCGAAGACTCGACTTACGACACCTTGTTTTCAACTCGATACTTGTGACCTTTGCCTAACTATTCTTATTCATGATATACGAACTATGAAAATTCTGCTATTAAAAAGTAGTTGCGAGCATCAAAGAGGAAGAAATGTAGGGGGATTGGTACGCGGTGCAGAAAAATACATTATAGAGAATTGTTCAATCTTTTCGTCTTCGACTCATAGAAGAGTCGCTCAGATGTCTTGGCAAAGACGAGACAAGCGGTCACCTACAAAACGCTTGCTTGGTGAGGACGATTGAATCTGGTCTCAGAATCATCTTAAATTTTGGTGAAGATTGGCAGTCGTTCAAAAATTCACATTATTTTGCAATTTCATGTTTCGTATTTCGACAATTTGCCAAAACTTGTGTTTCGTATATCTAAGTTTTGTTACTCTCGAAATCAACTTTTACTTTTAATCGCGTTATTAATTTCTTATTTTGTTAATTTTTCAACTGTCTGTATTATTTGTTAAGGCTGTATAAATAGATAGTACATTAGACAAGCTGCGTTTCTAATTTAGCAATTGATATTTGGCACCTGGTATCATGTTTTCGTCAGATATGATTTTCCGCACATTATTCCATGGTATTTATAGTTTTATAAATATTTGCGTTTCGAATCAAAGCAGCGTGATTCGGCGTAGAAGCATACGTAATCGCTCGATAATAGCGAATTGATTGCGGAAAAATTTTTATGAACTATGACATGTTGGAGGAAGTGATAAGCGACCATGATACTTGAAGAAAATAACTATATACACACGACGAACGCTCATCTTCTATCGCAAGAATAAAGAGCGCCACTCGTTGAAATCGCAATCTGCAGCTTATAATCTAAACTTATTTATGCGGCATAGCAGTCGTGATTCTTGGAAATAGAATAGGGTGCCTCTTCAGAGAACTTTGCGAGAGAGGAGAGGAGATTCGTCGAGAAGGCATCCTTGGTTTCTGCCGGTGGCGCGAATCGTGGAAATTTACGAGGCCTCCGTCCGTTTCTTTTTATCGGTCTATCTTGTTCGCGCGTTCGTTCATCGAAGTATATGCGAGCTTGTGCGGCTTGCGTCATTGCCTCGCGGGTCTCTCTCTCTGTTCGTGTATGCGTTGCGGCCTACGTGTAGCTAAGAAGAGACATGGCAACGGCGCGTGAAGCTAAACATATTAACTGTCGGCTCACGCCACAAAAACAACATGATCTCATTCCATGGCGCATATATATGCAAGAGGTTATCATATACCTCAAAATCTCATTCAAAACTTTAACGGCGTGAGACGAGGCAAAAGAAGATGAGAGGATGCGATAATATATAAATATTAAACGCGTGGTAACGGAAACTTTTAATGGATTACTAATTTCAACCAGCGAAATAATATCGTTCGCTTTAATTATAATACTGATTTTTAAATCCAATAAGTTTGCGGCATTAGCTATAAGCGCGGTTATAAGCGCTTTTCCTGGAAGATAAAACTTCCTCCATGCATTAGCCATCTCTTTGCCTTTGATTATACAATTTCCTATGCTACAGTTGAGTTAGTTATGCGTGTATTGTATTTAGTATGCTTGTATCTCGTAGGGCATACGTCTACGACCTAATCTAAATTGTGCGCGCCTACTCTTTCGTAGAATAAGCCTTTCATGATTGATCGCGATCCGTTTCAGTTCTTTGTGATATTTCACAAAGATGCTATATCCTTCTATATAAGGAATTGTAGAAAAGTTGAGAATGCTACGCATTCCATGCGTATTCTTGATCTCGTGTATATAGAGAAGTCCAACGGAGGCGCGATTGGCTGTGGAGGAGAAAGGCGAGCAAAAATCGAGGCTCCAAGCTGGCTGCTACAACGAGCTGTTAAGCGGCGCGGGCAAGGAAGGCAGGCACGCAGTCAGACATTCACAGCAGACAACATGGCGCCGTGAGCGTCGTCGTCACGCCGGCGTGACGTTTCCCGCGCGCGTCATTAACGGAAGTGAGGCCACAAAATGGCGGAGTTTTACCAAGCCGAGGTGTGAAAGGGAAGAGGAGAAAGGAGAGGAGACAGGGAGGGTGGTGTATGTATGCCTGCGGGCAGTTACAGGCAAGCGAGAGGTAGGATGACAAGAGATCTATAGAAAGAGAGGCGGTTGGGTCGGTGGCACAGAGAAAGAAGAATGACTAGTAGCCGCCTTCGGCGGTAAACTAGCGCCCCGTGCTGTACGAATGGGGGCAACGGGGAGTTCGAGGGGATATTGGGTAGAAAGAGAGAGAATGGCCACAAAGGCGATAAGTTGAACACGGATAGAAGCGAACTGACTGAGCGCCGAGTGGGGCAGATATATGGAAGAGTGTGGTCGACAGTGCGAGCAGAGAGGCCTCAAGGGAACGAGAGAGCGAGAGACGGCGTTAGAGCGGAGAAGGGAAAGACCAGTGGGAAGCAGCGGCAGTTCGCTTGGTGGGGATGAAAATTAGTTACGGCATCCAAGACCTAAAAGGAACTCCGGCGCCGCCAGATCGCATCGTGCAATGTTAAGCGTTAAGGTATCCTCGTGTATCGTTGACAGTGCCGGTCTGAAACTTTGTGCTAGTTGTTATCTGCGTTACTATCGGACTCGGTTTCATGGTTGACGTGTGACGACTATTTACAGGGTGCGAAAGAAGTTTTACGTATGTGTAATATTTTAAATAAGGATACATGACCTATTTATATATATGACGTGAGTGAGATGCTCAGTGAGGATAGCTCACAATCAGTGAAAATGATTCATTCGAAGCATCAGCAATCGGCGCATCAGCAGCACCAACACCAGAATATGCGAAAATCTGTGGGCGTTATGGGCACCAGACGTATATTCACAACAGCTTTTAAAATCAAGGTTCTGGATTCCTACAGACACGACAAGGATTGCCGTCAGAATCAACGTGCCACTGCGAGAAAATACGGTATTCATCGTCGTCAAATACAAAAATGGCTACAATGCGAGGAACAGCTCAGAAGTAGCGTTGAAAATGGAAGCACTGGTATCGCCTCGACCATTTCTTCCACGGGTTCTCAATCTGACGGTACTGTGACGGAAGCTACAGGGAATACCGTGACTCCAGCAACGCCGGCCTTGAACCTCAACCTCGCCAGACAGCACGGCGACGAGCTGACTGCACAGCAAGGGCCCCCACCTCTGCATCCTCCGCATGGCAGTGCACCCTCCTCGCCCCAATATAGCCGTCAGACTACTACCATCGGCACGACTTTGCCCCTATGTGTCGCGTCCGTAGGTTATCAAGAATATTCGTCGGAACAACAACGTCTTCATTTAGAACTCGAGGACAGAGTGCATATGCCAGAGATTCACGGATATCCAGCTCCGCAAGTGGATCAAGATCGTAATTACTACGTATTAAATGGAGATGGACAGCGAGATGCGGAGGTTGCTTCGATATTCGGCGGTAGGAACGAGGTGAAGGTATATCAAACTTTAACAAGTTACCATTCGCCATCTCAGGAGCATCGATACGGCGTGAATGATATTAATAGTAGCGTGCATAATCATTCGCCGAATCATCATCCACAGCAGCGAGAACAAAGTTATGGGAACGTTGATTCATTTGACGGAAGATCATACGGCTTGCTACGAGCGCCGTCGATGATAAAGACGGAGCCAGCGAGCCCAGACACAGCGGCGACACAGTCAGGGCCGTACGAATCGACGGACTCCCCTGGTGGCCCGCAGGCCCCACTCTCGCCTGTATCCCATCGAGCAGCCGATAGCGGCGGTTCCTCCTCGTCCGTTCACTTTGTTGATTCCTCACGAGCCCCCGCGAGCCCGTACTTGCACGTGCACGTGCATGAGCACGCACACCCATGTTCACCGCTGAATTCCGAGAAGCCGATCCCGTCGCTTCTGCACCAGCAGGAGAGAGAGTCGGAGGAGACGACGCATATCGAGGAGAAGAAAGAGGAAGAGGTGCTGGAAAAAACGGATCACTGTACAACGATAGTCAAAGAAGAGGTACATTTGGACGAAGAGGAAGTATACGATGGAGAGGAAGTCACCGCAACCTCGTGCATTGATTATCGACGACCATCTACTGGCGAATTATTAGTAGATAGTTCAGGACCGGTGAGTCCTCCTATGTATGATCGCAACGGTTACTCGTTGCCGTCGAGTCCTCGTGATTCTGTTGTTAGCGTCGGAAGGTACAGAAGTAGCTGCTCCGATAGCGAGATGGATCCCCTCGTTTCGGCCGGCAGTTTGAATTCATCCGGCAATTTTACTCGCAGACGATCTTTCCCTTGCGCTTTAAACTCGAAGTTCTCGATGCCTTCCATCGAGATAAGGAAGTGAAGGAGAATCAACGAGCCACCGCGAGAAAATTTGGTATAAATCGTCGTCAGGTACAGAAGTGGCTGGAACAAGAGGCGGAACTCAGAGACGAAATCGCCCTTCGAGGCGATTCACGTCAACGATTAGGTCCTGTCCAGGATGTCCCTTCCGGTGACTCACCGTTGGATCTGACGACAAATTACTCCAACTGCGTTTCGCTGCTACGTGATCGGTTTGAGATGGAACACGAACGAACGCCACCGCATGTTTATCGCTGCGATATCGGTTCTCCTCAACATCCTTTGTACTATCACCACTTTACCGGAATGGAATCGTCCTCTGAAGTAGAACCAGTAGGGCCTTGCAATATTTCTTGCTCCGTGGACAGCCGTACTACGACTTCGACGACATCCTCTTCTCAAGAGTCTTGGAAGGAATTCTGTTATATGGAATCTTCAGCTAAAGCGCACTGTTATTCACCCAGCGCAAATTCCATGGTATCTAATCTTTCTGAAGGATGCGAGCAACTAATTTTGCCGCGGGCATTGCCGCTGAAGAGGCACCATTGCCCGCATCCTTGCTGCCTTGTCGATGCATTGCCGTCGCCAAAAAGATTCTGCGAAAGGCTTGTTTCGGATACGGACGACTGTTACGATGCACCTCCTCAGGATACGCCTCTTTGTCTGGTGAAACGGAGATCGACTCGGGAATCATCTCCTTCCCGGACGGAGCTGATTCTGAAACCGAGTACCGTGTCGACCTCGAATAATCCGGACGCTATCACATTCAAGCCTTACTTGGACAACCCCGTGAGCAAACCTGCGAGAAAGTGTCTGGACCAGCGGAATCTATCTCCCGTCAGCAGCCACAATATCAACAACAATAATAATAATAGTTACAACAATTGCCAAATAATCTGTAACTTCGACGAGAGTCAAAATCGCAACTATGATTTCGAGCTTAATCTGCGAGTACCGGTTTCCTGGAGACCTGACGTAGGTTTGTATGGGTTTCCGCAAAGGAGTGCGTTCGTCAGCGTATCTTCTCCGCTCTACATGTAACTTCCTGTCTCTTTCCGAACTCCCCATCCTTCTATTCTAATCAAACGCAGAGAACGGAAACCAGCAAGCTCGTATAACGATCAATGGTCATGTCTGCATTTCTTTTCTTCCATCTTGTTTTAAAAATTGAAAAAAAATACTTGATTATACATATATAGTTAAATTAGATCCAATTCACGGGTTCCTCGTAGGTGAAAATTTGTCGATGAAAAAAAATTGATCGGTACGTGATCTGGTACACGTAGCAGGCCACGTAAGCATTTATCGTTTTCGCGGATCGTCGGTGCCGCGTTATACATCGCGATAAAGTTTTAATCGGCCATTGGACGAGCTGAGGCGTGGAAGGAGATTATACATGGTCGCGTCCTCGGCTTGGCGTCTTCTTCCAACTTCATCAGACTTGCTCCGAGACCCTCTTCCCCTCCAGACCTCTCGTCCCACCTCTGTTCCACAAAAAATCGTAAAGATATCCTGACGAATCTTTTTCTCACCGCTTTATCGTCGAGATTAGAACCTGGTGGTTATCGCGCGGCTAGGCCGTTTAGAGGTCGAACGCTCGTTCGCTATAATTATAGAATTATGTCAGCGCAGCCATTATTGCAACGCATCGAAGGAAAATTCGCGGAAAGAAATGCCTCGACCGAAGCATTCTCTCGTTGCAGCACGTTATGTAATAACTGGATACTTGGCATTATATATTCTACACGGATTTATTAACATTTTTTAAAAATATTTTTATAATATATATCTCGGGTTTTAAAAACATTTATTTACGTTTCTCCTTGCAAGATATTTTGGTAACTTTTTGCAGTACATTTGGCTAAATAAATTCACTTTTTTTATATTTATGTTATTACATATTATGCTCGACGAATGCATTGCATCAGATAAAAAAAAAAACGAGGTTTTCAGATTACATTTTTTCCCTATGTATTACACAGGAAACCACCCGCGTTGGCGGGTAGATCACACGATTTCTCGGTAACAGATGACATGTCATCCATGGTTTTCTGCGAACTGCTCGCGCGATCGCATACATCACTGATCGCGAATACACACAGTCGAGCTGCGAAAATCATTTAATTGCTCAAACAATTTCTTCCATGCGCGCATATGCGTCATACATGCGCATACCACGTTAGTATTACAATAGTAAAACTCTTTGTCATTGCTCTTCTATCCCCTTTTCTCATTGTTTGGCAATTGTTGTCTATTTCTCGTTCTCGCGTTTTATTGTTTTCTGTTAAACGATAATGTAAATATGTAAATATGTAAATATCGAGAAAACCGGGAAGAAACGTGACACATGATCGTATTTCCGTCGCATCAGATTTCTGCAAGGATGTATACTTGGCAGATATATCATAGTGTTGTTTTTAAAAAAGAATGTTTAATTAATCGACGTCTCCATTCGGGAGAAATAAGATATTTTTATACGATCCCGCGTATCTGAAAAAATTAAATTAAAAAGAAAATAAAAAAAACATAAAGGAAGAGACGGAAATTCGAGACAAAATAAACCACTTCCGCAGAGACCACTTCTTGTGCCTTTTTGTCTATATAAGACATAAAATATAAAAATGTTTATAATGCATAAAAGACGCATAGATGCGCTTGTAAAAAATATATATATTAATATTTTTAGAAAATAATAGATTCTCGATATATATATAGAAAGTAAATAAGTTTGTTATGCACTTCGCTTTTGATGAATTAATTTACTGAATGATAACTAAAAGAGATATTCCGTGATCAATTAGTCTGTCGTTAAAATATTTAAAGCGATAGAGATAACTATGCGGAGTGTTGTTGCGTATATGAAGTGTAATTAGTTCGCTGACTGATAGAAAAATCGAAAGTTGGACAAGATAAGCAGAAAGAATTAAAAAAGACATATAAGAGCAACTCTGAAAGAAAATCACATGTGCCTTATGTAATATATTCATATTAAAGTTGTATTTCACTCGCACGAGGCTTAGTTAGTGCGAGACCAAACAAATCACAGGGACATATAAATTGTATAATATTAGTTATTATAGTAAATAATGTCTAGATTTTAATTAGTATTTATATAAGATAGATCAACTTAAAAGTGATATAATTACGCTACATTTTCTATATATATATATATACGATTCCACGTTTAAATTATAAAAGTTTATTTTTTGCCTTCGTTATCGATTCGTGAATAATTTTAACTAGAGAAAGTTTACGCATCGACATTGAACCAAGTTTCGTCGTTAATTATTGTGAACAACATAAGAAATAATATATTTAAATTTAAATAATGAGCATGTTAATGTCTTATTTTTGAAATATTCAAGCATCTACATTCTGACAATCAACAATAATGCTCCTATTTAATTAGAATCATCTTTATAGGAAAGAAGGATCAAAAAAATTAAAAACAATTAAGAATTAGGAATTATTTATGAATGTTGAGCTTTTTAAATTTATATAATTATAATAATTTCCTTGAGTTTCATTCATTTTTAAATGGTTCCTAAAACATTTTAGTTTAAAAAAGAAATCAAACAGTAATTCAGAAAAGCAGAAATCTTTATTTCTAATATGATTAATTTATATGAATAAATTAATTTATTTATACGAATGTGTGCGTTTTTTTACACAATTTTCTTAAATACATTTTTGAACTTGTTAAATTCAAAAATGCATAAATAATTTCTAATTCTGAATTCATTCTTTGTTTCTAACGAACAGGGATGATTGAAGGCATAACAATTCTATAAATAAATATTTTTCAAAGTATGAATGTATTCTCGTTCTCACTGCAACTCAGATAGGCGCGATCGTCGAGATGCATTACGATCCTCGAAGAGATAAGCGATTTCTTTCGCATCTGACTTTGCTGGCGAATTATCAGGGGAAAACCTTTTGTGAATCATTGTTACTTGATGCTAAGGAAAGTCATATTAGATTGTGAGAGATTGCTCGGGTCGGAAAAACATATTGCGCGATACTGATCAACGTGCGTTGTTTTCAACTTCCTCAGTCTATCAGCTGCTCAAATTCTCTGAAGTAAACACAAATACTATGAAATATAATCACGTCGTAGCTGAGCTAAATTTCATATTTAATTAAAGCAAAAGTATCAAGCAGTATATAATGTAGTTTATAGAGAATATTTCTCATTAATATTTTAATACAAAATTTTAATTTTTATCGAATCGAAAAATTGATATTCATAGCGGATTTCTAAACAATCAAGCGGTTGCCAAGCGATAAGCAAGAAAGGCAATTCTGTAAATCACTGCTGCAGACAGGGTAGTTACGTTAATGTTTCAATATTCACGCTTAATCGAGCTCATTCATGATGCGGCATTATTCAACATGATTGTCTGTGCGATCGTCTCGTACCGAGCTCTAATTTATCATCTCACGAATAATAAATTCAAGATATGATCATTATAATTATTTTATGGCGAGTCTCAGAATATATATTCAATTTTTTTTTTTTTTTTTTCCCAAAATGAAATATTTTTATTAGAATTTCAATCTGTTTTAAAAATATATATATATATGTGAATATATTTTAAATTAATTATTTAATTGTTATTAAATAATTATTTTTGTATACCAAAGGAATACGTATCTTTTTATCGCAAAATCACGATTCGCCAATCAAGTCCGAGGATCGACAGATCGAACAAGAAAAATAAGTTAGCGCTTTGCCCATAATTGTTAATAATGGTCAAGGCGTAATAATGTACAATAAAAAACGCTCGCGCGTAATTATAAGCCATAATAAATTACATAATGCCATAATACATTTTACGTAAAGGAAGGCTGTATGACTGACGAAAAAATTCTCGATCACGCTAAAAATTCGCCGAAGTGCCTTGAATGTGTCTGTATGAAAGCGTGCGTTCGCCTGTATTTGTATATGTAGTCACAGCCCACAAGAGTCTGTTAACGAAAGGCGTACATATAAGCAATATTTCTAAGTACATAAAAAGGGAGAGTTCCCCTTGGATAAAAAAAAAACCCGTTCTATTGTCCGTACAACACACAAATAAATATATATAAGCATAATGCTCGTATTGTACATGTACAAAAAAAGTATGTATGTATGTATGTATGCATGTATGTATATAAATATAAAAAACCGATAAAGAGCTAGAACGCGAAAATATCAAAGAAAGTACATAAAAATTTATCTATATATACATATATATACGTATACATATACCGAAAGTTATATTTTGATACGATCCACTTACACGAACGAACGCGCCTCTGAAATCGCCCGGTGCCTTTAATAAAATTGCTCGTGCCTTACAGTTTCTCGCGCGAGGAGGAATCAAGAACCCCATAGAGACTTTGCAAGTCCTTCGTTCTGATAATACTTATCTGATATAATATACTGATATAATATTTATCGTATCGTATCTTCGATGAAATTGCGGATGCAAAATAGAAAGTAAAATAGTATGTACAGAGATATATATACCAGTGCCCTCCTCACGCGCATATAATATCAGTATTTTAATTATTCTTTATTTATTGTTTTGCATATAAAGATCCTCCAAAGTCCCGCAAAATAACTTGTTAATCTCGTGTGTGACGTCATCTCTATGCCTCTTCAATTGCATACTTTGTAAAAATATTGAATTTCTGTTAATCATGCTGTGTGCAAATATATACTAATTTTTTTTCTTGCTGTTATTGGTATGTGTGTGATTGAAAAACATTGTTAAAAAAAATGCGAAGCAGAGCTCAAGAACTTAATATCTTATTAAAAATAGTCGAGTCAACATTTTTTCATCTTGCAAACAATTGTGACTCCTAACGATAATATCATTAATTCTTCGTATCGCTCATAAGGTGTTAAAGAACGAAAATAAAAATGTATAATATATTTTAATGTTCGGAGAATGCAAGAGAAAGGCATCGAGATATATATAAATCCTTCTTTTGTACGTTGCAGAGACGCAAAAATTATATTGTATTAAATATTGTATCATATACACGCGCGTATATAGATTATATGTATGAAGCGTGCCAAATAACACAATAATGCCCGTTTTGGCATTCGCAAATGTCATGACACGCTTCATATGACATAGAACCTAACCGAATTTGAGAGAAAATATAAGAGATTATTTTAAAAGAATCCATCCTGTGTTTTGTCATTCTTTCTAATGCCTATCGAATTTATTATTTATTTTTAATATCGCTTACGCATTCTCTCATTATTCTTGTGATCGATTACGAAACTTGTACAAAAATGCTGTCTGTCGTAGATATAAACTGAAATAATATTATTACTTTGATAATTCGAATATTTTTTATAATTTAAAGCAGTTGAAAAGTAATGTTTACGAAAGATAAGATACGTTTCTAAATTTCACCTGAAAAGATAAATCATAAATTTATTTTCGAAAGAATATTTTTGAATAAACGTGCAAGTAATAATATTAATTAACACTGGAAAAATAAATATATATTTTTATACATTTTTTTTCCTCATTTTCGCAATAATCATAAGCTATTACATCTTGTATGAAATTATTCTAGAACATATATTTCTAGAATATTTCATTAATATATTTTCCAAGAAACTTTAAGAAAATCATATATACATATGTATATATGTATTTATTATCTCAAAAGGCATCGAATGGCTTGAAGAAAGTGTATTGCATTAACACATTTGACGCAATAGAGGTCTTTCTTCTACCGATATGATTCATAAAGTCTCTCTCACGCGATTCTACAAGCACTTATCTTCTTGCTGAGTATTTCAGCAGTTACGCGACACAGTATGGGAGAGAAAAGTTCTATTCTCCGGTTACATCGATTCAAGCATTTCCGCTTGAATTATGGAACAACAAGCTGTGGTGAGGTCGTAAATTTCGTAATATTACGAATTAAATTTTACCGTTATCGCGTTATTCAACCTTTTGCACTCGAAATTATTTTATTATCTAATATCAATAAACATTACGTCAATTTCTATCTTGCGGTCTCAAGGTCTTTGTGATCTCTCTAGTGGAGAACAATTTTAAATATCTCGTAATCTACTTATAATATTTTCCTCATCAACTGTCGGAATAATTATTTATAGTAAAATGACGTCATGTGATCTTGTCTTCATGTAGTTAAACTTCAATTAAAGGATATATATATATATTATATTTAGAAATGTCTATTGCATTTTTATTATAGCTTCATAAATTTCACTTTTTTTCTCACAGAGACTTGTGACAGCTCTTAGAGTCAATGAAAAAATAAATTTTACGAAGATATCTATTTTGTGTATTCATTTTTTAAATCAATTTCTATTTTTATTACAGCTTCATAAATTTTATTTTTTTCTCGCGAAGGCTACGACAGTTCTTGGAATTAATGAGGAAGTGAGTCTATTAAGAAACGGTAATCTCCTCTCGCAATTAACGATTTACGTAATATTTCGCGCATATATACGTACAATACAACAACAACGTAGTCGCGAGTTGCGGCCCGCGGTCTCTCGAAGAGAGGCTTCCGATATCTCGCTCGCCTCCACCGCATCGAGATTACAAGAGGCGCGATGAAGATAAGCGCGCGAACCAAGTCATAGAGATTCACGCACGTCGTCTACCTTTCCCTTCTCTCTTTTCCTCACCCTTCTCTTCGTGCAGCGATATCACCGATGCATTGTTTCCGTTATCGCGCCTGATTGGCAACTCGCTGCAGCCGCAGCCGCACGCGTAAAGTTCTCCAGGCATGCATACGCATACCTATTCAAAAGTCCGCGTAACGCAGAAGCAACATACGTATACATGTAGATAACAAATGCACAAATGATCGCTTGTGCAGCGAATGTTTGCCTTGTTTGTGCTAAATTCTGATTTTTTTTTGTAAAAGATGCACTATCTTCTGTCAATCTTGACAGATTTCTTTTTTAATACTAGGAATATAAAAAAATACGGATTTCTCATTTTTGCATGTATGTACTTATATGTATATATATAGTTTATGATTCGCATACATTGCGCACTATCATAAAATTTCAAATCTTTCACGAGCAACGATGTAGAATGCACGGGTAAATTCCTGCTATGCAAATGCATGATTTATTGCCGATGTTTATCGTTGCACAAGTCCGGTAACAGGGAATAAAATGCTCGCCATTAAAAGGAAAGGAGATTATGAAAATGAGAGTCACGCGTTTTATAGTTCTGTACGCTGATGCTGATGATAAAAATTAATTAGTAAATGTCATTGTAGAGGCGCATTGGGAAAAGCCGGAAATTTAAGAATACAGTAATACAATATTAGTGATATTATATTTTTTTAATTACTGACAAAATACTTTCACTCGTGCATATTTATTTAATTATTTTAATGAGAAATATTGGTATGCAAAATGAATAAGCGAATTTATATCATGGTTGAAGGATATAATAATAAACATAAAATTTCCTTTATACCTTGTTACGCATTAAATTAATTATTTATACTAAAAAAAATTAATGAATTTGAATATTTCAATACTGCCTTCTAAATCATTTATTTGAAACTATAATATTGATATGAAAACATATTTATGTTATAAGAAAATTTTTTTCAAAACAAATATTTATTATTTATTTATTTTTTCAAATAAATTATTTATATATTTATAAGGCAGTATTGCAATAAATATTTATTTATTAATTTAATAATTTTTTTCAGTGTATGAATTTTATTAACTTCGCTCCTAAGTCTTCAGAATAAAACTGTTTTATTTCAAATTTTTGTTTATCAGTTGGAAATCCTGTCTTATATACGTATTCAGCTTATACATGCCTGCGTGTTCGTGTTGCAATGTAAGTGAAATGATTGCCAATGCACCTGAGCAGATTGAGCAATCGTTATCTCATGCGGCAGTTAAACTTACAAAAGATGAAATTCAGTTTCAATTTTCATCTGTGCATTCGCTCCTCAGTTATACATAAAAAATTAAAATAAATAAAATATACACGTGATTTTTTCTGTATGTTGTGTGTATGTATGTGGCTATATTGCATTAAACACAATTTTTTGCAATATATAAGCTACAGATTATAATTTTAATAACAGCAGAACAATTCAATTAACTTTTCGCCGATTAACATAGATTTAGCTTCAAATATAACATTCTTAAATAAAATAATATGTATGAAAAATCGCTATTTTATTGAATTTTTCGTCGTACAATAAAATAGAGAATTTATCATATTTTTCATAAACAATTTTTTTGTGAATTCATATAGAAATGTCAGTTTTGGATCTGTAAACTAAATTCTTCGAATTAGATTTTATAAGAAAAAAAGTATGTTTAAAGAAAGAGGTTGATGGTGCATTCCTCAGAAAGGAATGTAAATCGTTGGGCGATATCGAAACCTCGCCGTGATAAATTGTGATATAATAACAACCTGCCGTTTTTATTAAGGCCACCGTATGCGTAGCAGACCTTGAATTGAAACATGAAACTGTTGCAACGCGTCAATCAACTGAATCAACGTCAATAAATGTCATCGGCAATGCAATTAGGTGCAGTGGCACGATCGAAAAAAAACTTGGTGGCTCTGACAGAATGCAACTCATAATATTACAATTTAAGGAATATTAATCGCGACGATCAGCTGATCCTGTTGACAGTCGCATTCGAACCGAGTTAAAGCGATTAATATATTTAAATTAATTAAATTCGATCGCATCACGTGTGTTTCGTTGGGAATACGAATTGGACCGATACCTCTAAGTACTTAAAAAAAAAGTCACGTCCGAAATACCTCTCTCTTGATCTATTCTCCGACCGGAAATACAATAGTGTACCGAAAAGACTGAAAGACTGGCGTTGCTCCAACTGTTGAGCGACCGATTCTGTTTGTCGAATGTGCAAACAGAACAGCGGACAGACAAAAGTCTAAGGTAATTTCGACGATTATTCTTTCGGAGTGCTCGGCTCTTCGTTTTTTGTTGATTTTATATTCGTAAAAGTCGCGTTTCTCGTGGCGTGTAAGAAATCGGCGAACACACATCAGGGAAGTGTGTCGCGAAACGTGAAATCGCCATATCCCCGTGGAATAACATATGCTGAAGAGCAGCCCGAGCTTGGTAAATAACGCGCTATTTGCCAAATACTATTATTACTCATAAATTTTCATCAATCGCGCGATACCCTATAATCCGTGAAGTTTCCATGTCCCACATAAAACGTGTGTTCTCCTTCCCTTTCAGATATAAGATATTATAGATTAAAGATAAAATTTGTGTGTGTGTGTGTGTGTGTGTGTGTGAGATGAGCGAGATTATATTAGAACTTTCCTTTACTTTTATTATATTGTAGATATATTTCCTCTGTAGTTTGTTGACAACCGATATGAAATAGATTTATATATATATATTTCAAATAAATGTCTAGATAACTGATGTTTCAACATATTTCAAGTACATAAATAAGATGTGTTATATTAGTTAATAAGCTGTGTTATGCAGAAATATTTTCCAGAAGACAAATTCTTAAAAATTAATAATATAGTACCAAAGAAATTTGCATTGCATCTCGTCGATATAAACGTAATATCATTTTTTTTGAGGTCAGAATTGATGCTACCGTGATTACGTTAATCAAACTGAACTATGACTGACTTATATATGATGATCGAGATCGAGTACGAGTAATTGCAAATTGATTGCGGGTGAAGATATATAAATCGAGAACGCGATGATGGGAGTATCGGAGACACGGGAATATAATTTATAACGTGACGTTAAGAGAACACGTTACATTTAAATGATAATTTCGGTCTGTGAGAGACCCTCGGGCGCATAACATTCGAGCAGGAGAGATGCTCATTTTCGCGATGGTTGCTAATTATAAAACGGACATTCGCAGTCCAAAAGCCTGTCTCTTTGGTACACGTGTTCTTAATGTCACAGGAAGAAGAAAAAAGAAAAGAAATAAAAGAGAGAAAACAGGCGAAAAAAAATAATAGCAAGAAAATCACCGTCTACGAAAGGCTTCTTAATGTATATATTTTTATCTCAGCAAAATGTCTTCTCATTTTCTTTCTCTATTTTGTTTTGTTTTCATTACTATCGCTTTTATATTATTGCGATATTAAACACTGGAATTATTTTTTTTTAATTAACTTGATTTCTTTCCATTTTTCTATTAAAATTACCTAGACTTAGAAGCATTCTAAATACATAGATTCGTGTATAGAATTGTTCTGATAGATTAATATTATAATTACAGATTTAAAAGAGATGAGAATTGTAGAAAAAATATATGCTAAATCTTAATAAAATTATATACAAAAATATACAAATACATAAATGTCTACACATTATGAATCTCCTGAAGTAAAAATTATCTTAAGCAAGGAGGAGATTCACAAAAGATACGAGGATACTGCAAAAGTTATATTTAATGTAAGAAAATATGAAAGAGAAATCGAATTAGATTAAATAATTTGTGAAAAAATTTCTAATCATGAAATTTTTAAATTACAGGAGCAAAGTAGAAAGAAGAAAATCAGTTATCTCAGTTTTGGAAGCAGTCGCAGAACAATAGAATATAGCAATAATGGAAATCACCCCGTTATTATACGAAAACCTACCAGTTCTACAATTATGGAGAACACTTATTTATCCTTGCAGATATCAAGAGAATATCATAAGCCAATCAAAAAATGCGCGATAACTTAATAATTAGAAAATGTTATAATAATTTGTACAATAAACTTAGCTACACTTGTATTAACATTATAGTATCAATTTTGAGGAAATCCTTATATGTACCTGAATTATAATATACCATTATAATTTAAACATTTTTTTAATGCATTCATTATCACATAAGACCATTCTTCGTAATTATTTATAAAATATACTTTGTAACAAAAACAAGTATAATATAATACATCTCAGTTAAGATTGCAAGTACTCTTAAAATTCAAGTCGAGTCGAGTCCAAATATGCTCGTAAAACTTGGCTTAGAGAATTTCAACTAAATGATGAAAAATTTTGGATACTTGCAAACTTCTATTACTTATCATAAAATAAATACATCACAATATAAAACAACTTAGGCAAAGTACATAATGTTCTGCAAAAATTATAAAATAGTTCTTTTACTTACAATTAATGATGAAATCGTTTCTCAATATACGTTACGATGTAACTACAATTAAATGCAGAAAATTATCTGGGTAACTTAAGTGCTCCGACATCCACTGAATCGGCGTCTCTGAGGGTGGTACAATGCCATGGGTGCGCACTACAACTGTACAAATTCATAATTAATAAAAATAATTTTAATTTTTCTAAATAAATAAAAATGTGTATATATTTGTTCCTTTTCTACATGAAGTTTATATGAAATATGAAAAAAATTATTAATTTTAAACATATTATGAATAATGTGTATATTACAAATATATAACATTACAAACCATTTTCTTGATCTGGGAACACTTCATTTAACAAATGCTTCAAAGTCTTTCTTTGACCTTCTTCATTCATTGGTTTTACAAGTTTCTGTATATATTTATCTTCATTTGTATAGCATCGGAATGGTATATATTTAAATCCCTCTTCAGTATTGGTTTCCATAAGTCTACCATTCACAGACCAGAATTGATCAAATTTATCGTTCATAATACCATTCCATAACTGTGTATGATCCTTTTTTTGCATGCTGGAGACAATTTGGCCTCTATGCTTTAGAACATCAGCTTCTTTTATGCAAGACAGAAAATGGGCTTCTACAACTTCCCTAAAAATGCAAAAGATTTATACTGTTTGTCGATAAAATATACCGTTGAATGTAAAATATATTACATACTTGTTTTGACAGTGCATTAGAACATTTTCTGGAAATTTATCAAAGTGGACAACAATATTCCAAGGTAATTGAATGTCATTGAAATAAATGTCCAGTAAAACTCCAATTGGATAATGCCACTTTAATGGCATTCCATTGAATTCCAACCACATCTCATGCTCTTGTTTACTATCACTTTGTACATGTCGTATAAAGTGTTTTCGTACCTAAGGCAGAGAAAGAACAATATGTATATATGAATCTATGTTCGGATATAATAAAGTTGTAAAATAACAAGTTCGAATAAGAAATATTGCAAATATTTTATTTCTTACCTTCTCTGTACATAATGGAAAGTAACTTAACCTAGGTACCATTAGATAAAACGGATCCGGCCCTTGTAAATCGCATATTTCCTCAGAGTTGAGAGTGAAACAGACTGGAATTTTTCCATCCCAAATTTCACGAAGCACCTCTCTGTCGTTTGCCATCGAATTAATATGGATTTATTTACTCTAACACGTTAGTTACGTTCAAAACAATTCGATAGCAGTCGAGAAGTTGGGTTATGTTGCAGTTGATTATACTTCTGCCTTCTGCCATGAAATTGTCGGATGAGAAAGATCGGCAACTCATTGATTTTTTAATATTATAAAAAATTATTAAATATACATATATTATAAAAAGGAATAAAAAGATATTTATAAAGCCTTTGTTGTTTTAAAAATTATAGATTAAAATTTTCAAAATAAACGAGAATTATTAAATGAGAATTTCGTTTTCTACAATTTTGTCCAAACTTGCTTCGTCCTGATTGGTCAATTTTCCGCTTCACCCTGAAGTGAATATATTTCCGAACACAATTTAGTTGGGCATTTTTTATTTAGTTAATATAATTACTCTATTTATTTAAAAAATTAATAATATTGAATGATAATATTATAAAACTAGTAAAAAAAGTTGTTATATTAATCTAAATAATAATTTACATTAAAATAATTTTTTTATATTTAATATTTTGTTAATTCTTACAATTAGCCTAAAATTTTAATTACAAAAGTTCTTAATTTTTAAAAACAGTTGATGACAATTATTTAGAATAATAAATAAAATTTATTATTTTATTTTATTTTATTATAATTTTATTATTATTATTAATTATTATTTTTATTGTTTTATAATTAAATAATATTTATATATGTTATTAAAGGATTATTAAAAACATTACAGAATTATTCTTTTGTCTATCATTTCGTACAATTATTTAACTTTTACAATTAAATAACTCATAAGTCATAAGTGTATCAAGGTGACAATTTTTCGCTTGAATTAAATTTCGCGCGTGAAGTAGCAAGAAAATATATCTTAAGGCAACCCGTTGCTTACTTCACATCGCAAGATCGCGAGCGGCCGGCGAGACGGATCCGGGTGGAATCGCGATGAATTTGGGTAAAAAAGTGAGAGGTAAGCCATAATTATTGTCACATTTCAATAATTCTCGATTGCTAGCATAAATACGACGTCGAGCGACTTACGGCATATCGTTGTTTGCACGCAGTCTCATTAAATTGTTCATTATCATTCGCCTAGCGATCGAGTATGTATATGTACATATATATGTATATGTGCATGTAACACAAGAATACGGCGTCTCGTCAGTTTTCGAGACTCGATCGGTAAAAATATCACAATCACATAGTGTACAGTCGATTGGCGAGTATCAATCCACGTAAATATTCATTAAATCCATTAAACAATTAAATATATATGTATCACATCGACAATTATTGTCGAAGAAAAAATATTTTGAGCATCTAATTTTATGTATCTGAGTATGAGTAATATTAAGTATCGAGATGAATTTGTGTATAAATCATCGTTTCTAGCGATATATATTTACGATAATCATGATTTGTCATGCATTGAGATCATATTTTAATTATTTTCAATCAAAGTCATATATGTGTATATACACATACAGTGGTTGCTTGATCATCGATAATTTGCTGTTAATCTTTGCAGTTGGCGCACATGCGCAGTTAGTTCCAAGGGACATCGCTTCGCGCGCTTTCTCGCGTTTCGCGCGCCTTCCCGCGTTTTCCCGCTATTGATGCGCGCGTCGGTCAGCCATATTAAATTCGGGAATGCCGCGCTGAAAGTGTCGTGCACTTATTAATTGTGTTTGAATATATAATTAGTATGGACGCGCGTAATCGTAGTCAATTGTTTTTGCGCGCTTAAGTAAAATGAATTGTTTTCGCTAGGGAGAACCATGAAGAGGCAGCAACAGTAATGAAATAAGAGAGGAGAAGACGGTATCATCCGAGCGAGCGAGGCGGCATAAAAAATAACAGGTTAATAATTTATATTATTTTTATTTATTATTATATATTTGTGACAAATTCAATAAAAAATATATTTTAATACGCGCAATAATTTTGCTTGTTTATTCAAATGATTTAAACAAGTGATATTGGACAAAATATATTTAACATAAAAATTTTATACAGATTTCAACCAAAAACAATATAATTTTTCTAAAATTTATAAAATTACTTAATTAATTATTTATCTATTTAGTTATTGTATATACGCATTGAATTTTATATTCAAAAGTGAACAATAATAATTTTCTGAAATATTAAATTATTATGTTCTTCTGAAATATTAAATTAATTATTAATTTGCATGTTACAGATCGTAATTGACGACACCAACAAATTGAGAGGGAAAGGAGGGCTGGAAAAGGCATCGAGTATCATGCACACTCTAAAGTGAGTATTATTAATTACATTAATTATTATTTATTACAATTACATTAAATAAAAATGTATTGATTTTAATAAATCAAATTTTATAAAATTATTTAATTATTATACACATATAAAATAAAATCTAATAAAATCTAATAATATATGTAATAATAATATAATAATAATTGTTCGAAAAATTAATTATCTTGGGCTCTATTATAGTTTTTATTTATATGTTACAGATTAGGGTATCAGATCAACAATACCCAAAAATTGAGAGAGAAGAAGGTTTAAGAAAGACATTGGGCGACAAAAGAACCTTAAGGTATTTATTATTTATATAAAATAAAAATTTGTTAGTTGTATTAAATTAAATGTTATTAAATTATTTAATTATTGTGCACATAAAATAAAATCTAATAAAATCTTAATAATACATAATAATAATAATATATAATAATAGTTTAGAATATTAATTATCTTGGGCACTATTACAATTTTTATTTTATTTATATATTATAGATCACCTCATAATATATGACAAATCGAAACGGAAGGAGATCTAGGACAAACATCATTTATAAAATAATCCTACAGTGAGTATTTATTATTTATTGGTTATATTAAATTAAAATTTAAATAAAATCTATATATTTAATAAAATAAAATTTAACAATAAAATGAAATCTAATAAAATAATTATTGTTTGAAAAATTAATTATCTTGAGCACTACAATTTTTATTTTATTTATATTTTATATGTTACAGATCAACGTATCAAATCAACAATTATTGACCACCAACAAAATTGAGAGAGGAGGAGAGGAGGAGGAGGCCTAGGAAGGCATCGGGTGCCGGCAAAGAAATCTTAAAGTGAGTAGTTATCATTTATGTATTAGTTGTATTAAATCAAAATTTATTAATTGTAGTAAATTAAAATTTATAAAATTATTTAATTATTTTCTTATTACTGCACGCATGGAAAATGAAATCTATAATAAAATAATAATTATTTAAAAAATTAAATATCGAGCAACTACTACAATTTTTATACTATTTATGTGTTACAGGTCAACAGTAGCTTGCAGTTCATGCCAGTCAACTGCTTGGTGAGCGATAAAGTATTAATTTTTACGAGGTAACGGTTTTGAGATTAGAGTGTAGAAAATGTAGATATAGATTTGTGTAGATTGTAGACTGTAGATTGTAGACTAGATTGTAGATATTATATCCACATATCTCAAGAAGATAATAATTATAAGCACATATCTGACACGGTCTAATGATCGACACAAAATGTTGCTTATTAACAAATTGATTAAAATTGAGACACAAGCTTATAAGATCAAGATGTATTTTATTCTTTTTTTAAATTTTATTATTGTCCAAGTTAATTTTATAATTATTGTTCAAATAATAGTTTTGTCCAAATTAATTTTATAATTAATAAATCAATGTTAATAAATCAATAATAAATCAATATTAATAAATTGATATTAAATACTAAGAACACTGCACTCTTAACTTTTGCAATCATATATATATAAAATATTGGAAAGCGCATACAATAAAGAAACTTTTATATTAAATATCTGCAGTTTCTTAATTTACTTGGAATTTTTAAAATTAGGGAATTCTTAGGAAATTTTATTTACAAAATTTAAATAGGCATCCTGTAAACCCCTAAGACATTCGAAATGCAAAATGTGACGCGCTTAAGTACGGGAGTGTCGTATAAAAGTATCGCGCACTTAATTAAGTGCGGAAGTATCGTCCAAAAGTATCGTGCGTTTTGATGCGGGAGTGTCGTCTAAAGTATCGGGCGTTTTAGTGCGGGAGTGTCGTTTTAAAGTATCGCGCGTGAAAGTCGAAGATTTCGACAAGAAATAATCCTGATCTGAGAGGAGGAACAGGCCTGGGATGGGGCATCAGGCGCCAGCCGAGCAACCTTGCGGTAAATATTAATTATATATTGATATAATACGTTTTGTTATAAATTACATATACGTTAATTTGATTCCTATAAGTATTTGAATGGTTTAAACAAGAAAGAAATAGAAACAATATTTTTACATATATAAGTTTATATAAAAAGTCTTATATAAAAGTTTATACTAAAAAATAGTCTTCAAAAAATTTTAAAATTAATTAATTATTTATTGTAAACGTTGAATGTAAAATTTAATAGATACAATTATTATTTTTAGAAATATTAATTATTTTAGCTCTCTCTCTCTCTCTTTCTCTCCCTTTGTTATAATTTGAATTCTATTTTTATGTTACAGATATCTTCGTATAGATGAAATTAATTCTGCTGTTGCGCATCGATTGGTGAATAAACTATTATTTTATTATTAGATTTTGTAGAAATTAGATTATAGATATGTAGATTTAGATTGTAGAGTGTAGATTGTAGACTGTAGATTGTAGATCGTAAATTGTAGATCCGTTACCTCAAATAAATTATCTAAGTAGATTAGATTATTTTGCCAAAAAATATTAAAGACTATAAGAAATATATGATGATGAGAAACATCATCGTAAAGTTTACCAATTCATCTATTCGACCAGAAATTGCGTTTTTATCCATATATATATTTATCTCTTTATTAATTTGCGTGCATATCCTTTGTTGCACGACGCAAATCAACGTGCCTATTATATAAAAATATTAGACGCATGATTATTTTTGAGCTTAGCTCGTGGGGAAAAATTATTGGTATAAATCTAGGTATATCATTTACATAAGCTTGCATTAATATAAAATGATAATATAATTAAATATTATTTTATGCATATCAATACAAAGAATACAAAGATTATTTTTTGAGAAATTACATAAGAAAAAAGATATCTTATGTAAGATATTATTTAATTCAGTGTATATATAATGTAGTACTATTACGTGAATTTATAATATTAAATATATACTTTATATAGTATATACATATATTTATTATTTAATATTATTTTTTATTATTATTTCATATTTAATATTTAAAATTTAATAAAAACATTAAATATTAAACATTCGACGGGATAAAATCTATACAATACATAAAAATAATTTGTTCACTTATTTGTATGACATGTTAATTTACACCATATCGTAAATTAAATATATACTGAAAAAAATAATATTTTTCCTAAAATATCTTGTTTTTCTACGCACTTTCTAAAAAGGAATCTCATATTTTTTATATATTGATGTGCATAAAATTCAATTACATAATGTAAGATTTATATAAAAGGAACATCTTCGTGCCCATGATCGTGATTGTAAAGTTGGCACGACATTGTTCAAATTAAAAAAGAAATATTAAGAGCTCTAATAGCATTTTCACATCTCTCCAAATCTTAATAGAAACTTAAACAGATCTGCATTTTTAATATTAAAAAATTGAAAATAAAAAGATGTGCTCACTTCGCAAATTAAACACCTTCTAAAGTGCTAAAATGCGAATGAATATATATAAATATGTACATATACAAATACACATACATGTATATATATATATATATATATATATATATATATTATATTTATTATTTATAATAAAATGCGTTAATATAATAAAACAATATTTGACAAAAGTTTCCAATATATAATTTTATATCAGAATGATATTTTATCAATTAATAATTTTTAATCGATATAATTAATATCCACGACCAGCTTGACCTTTACTTGTTAGTACATCATTAATTAACTTAATTAACTATTCTGCACATTTTGATTATTTTTATAGTGCTTGATAAAAGACAGAAAACACGTAAATAAAATAAAAAAACACGTCTACGTCCAATAAAAAAATTGATTAATTTCTAATACTTGTTTTATTAATAGCAATATTGCATTCTGTACTATTATAATATTCTGGTGTTTCACTCTAATTGTAAGTCATGTCACAAGTCCTGTCTTATAAAAATGTATTATATATTATTTTTCTATAGTAGTAGTAATATAGTTATTTTTTGTAACTTATATTCTTCACGTTTCACGAAAGGATATACTGAAAACGCATAAAAACATAAAAGTAGTCTCTTTTTATTAGAATAAACATATTTTATTTATTTTTCGTATAATTGTATTTTAATAAACTTGTATTTAGCATATTTTATTTTTTCTGTAGTGTTTGATGATAGACGGGAAGTACGTAAATATAAAAAAGAGCACGTGCAAGTTCTGTTTAGAAATGTATTCTATTTTATTTTTTTCATAGCAGTAGTATAGTTATCATCTGTATCTTATAATATTCTTGACGTTTCACGAAAAGACAGACTGAAGACGCATAGAACCATTAAAGTAGTCTTTTATTAAGATAAACATATTTTATTTATTTTTGTAAAATTGTATTTTAGTAAAATTGTATTTAGCATATCTATTTTTTCTGTAGTGTTTGATGATAGACGGGAAGCACGTAAATATATAAAAGAGCACGTGCAAGTCCTGTCTAGAAATGTATTCTATTTTATTTTTTTCGTAGCAGTAGTATAGTTATATCTTCTGTATCTTATAATATTCTTGACGTTTCACGAAAAGACAGACTGAAGACGCATAGAACCATTAAAGTAGTCTTTATTAAGATAAACATATTTAATTTATTTTTCGTATAATTGTATTTTAGTAAAATAGTATTTAGCATATTTTATTTTTTTCTGTAGTGTTTGATGATAGACGGGAAGCACGTAAATATATAAAAGAGCACGTGCAAGTCCTGTCTAGAAATGTATTCTATTTTATTTTTTTCGTAGCAGTAGTATAGTTATATCTTCTGTATCTTATAATATTCTTGACGTTTCACGAAAAGACAGACTGAAGACGCATAGAACCATTAAAGTAGTCTTTTATTAAGATAAACATATTTTATTTATTTTTCGTAAAATTGTATTTTAGTAAAATAGTATTTAGCATATTTTATTTTTTCTGTAGTGTTTGATGATAGACGGGAAGCACGTAAATATATAAAAGAGCACGTGCAAGTCCTGTCTAGAAATGTATTCTATTTTATTTTTTTCGTAGCAGTAGTATAGTTATATCTTCTGTATCTTATAATATTCTTGACGTTTCACGAAAAGACAGACTGAAGACGCATAGAACCATTAAAGTAGTCTTTTATTAAGATAAACATATTTTATTTATTTTTCGTAAAATTGTATTTTAATAAAATAGTATTTAGCATATTTTATTTTTTTCTGTAGTGTTTGATGATAGACGGGAAGCACGTAAATATATAAAAGAGCACGTGCAAGTCCTGTCTAGAAATGTATTCTATATTATTTTTTTCGTAGCAGTAGTATAGTTATATCTTCTGTATCTTATAATATTATTGACGTTTCACGAAAAGACAGACTGAAGACGCATAGAACCATTAAAGTAGTCTTTTATTAAGATAAACATATTTAATTTATTTTTCGTATAATTGTATTTTAGTAAAATAGTATTTAGCATATTTTATTTTTTTCTGTAGTGTTTGATGATAGACGGGAAGCACGTAAATATATAAAAGAGCACGTGCAAGTCCTGTCTAGAAATGTATTCTATTTATTTTTTTCGTAGCAGTAGTATAGTTATATCTTCTGTATCTTATAATATTCTTGACGTTTCACGAAAATACAGACTGAAGACGCATAGAACCATTAAAGTAGTCTTTTATTAAGATAAACATATTTAATTTATTTTTCGTATAATTGTATTTTACTAAAATAGTATTTAGCATATTTTATTTTTTTCTGTAGTGTTTGATGATAGACGGGAAGCACGTAAATATATAAAAGAGCACGTGCAAGTCCTGTCTAGAAATGTATTCTATTTTATTTTTTTCGTAGCAGTAGTATAGTTATATCTTCTGTATCTTATAATATTCTTGACGTTTCACGAAAAGACAGACTGAAGACGCATAGAACCATTAAAGTAGTCTTTTATTAAGATAAACATATTTATTTATTTTTCGTATAATTGTATTTTAGTAAAATAGTATTTAGCATATTTTATTTTTTTCTGTAGTGTTTGATGATAGACGGGAAGCACGTAAATATATAAAAGAGCACGTGCAAGTCCTGTCTAGAAATGTATTCTATTTTATTTTTTTCGTAGCAGTAGTATAGTTATATCTTCTGTATCTTATAATATTCTTGACGTTTCACGAAAATACAGACTGAAGACGCATAGAACCATTAAAGTAGTCTTTTATTAAGATAAACATATTTAATTTATTTTTCGTATAATTGTATTTTAGTAAAATAGTATTTAGCATATTTTATTTTTTTCTGTAGTGTTTGATGATAGACGGGAAGCACGTAAATATATAAAAGAGCACGTGCAAGTCCTGTCTAGAAATGTATTCTATTTTATTTTTTTCGTAGCA